AGCTCTCGTGCAGCGAGCTGATTTCGAGCTGCAGCAGCTCCTTCTGCTCGGCCGTCAGTCCGGCAACCCACTTGGCCTTGTCAAACTTGACCGCAGGCGCCTCGGGAGCGGCCGCAGCACCGGCCCCCTTGTTGCCGGCCGCCGGCTTCGGGGCCCCAAAGAAGGACATGATGCTCCCATCTTGCTTGGGCTTCTTGCTGTCGGAGGCGGACAGCGTGCCGGCCTTACGCTTGAGTGTGGACATGTTGGCGTGTGGAGAGGGAAGGCTGTACGAGAGGGAGACGATGACGTGGGCAGGCCGTTGACCTGGCCGCGGACGTAGGACGGCGTAGGTTGCTAACCTGGAGAGGCGTAGAGGACTAATTGTAATGGAGAGTTGGACCTGACAAGAATTCTCAATTCGTCATTAAGCTGGTACAGAATTCAGATTTGGGTCGGTCTTGTTCACGTTAAAGAGATGTAATACAATGGGCTAAGAAAGAGGTTTGGAGTGGGGGAAGAAGAGAGACGGAGTATGGAGTGTAGTCAAGAATGAGATTTCCCTTAGCCCTCCATTGGCCTTAAAGCTCGAACACTCAGTTTGCGGAACGTCGCGTGGTGACGCGCTACCAACTGGAAAAAGTCATTAACGCGAGTTGATCGACCCGCTGTTCTGGCGCGTCCTGAAGGCTTTTAGTGGCTGGTAGGGGGCGGGGAGCTGCCTGGGAGCTGCAGCCCTGCAGCGGCCCCGGCTGCTTAGCGGTTCCAATTGCCCCTGAGAGCTCCCGTCGACTATTTGGGACGAAGTGGTGACTTCATCAAGATATCTGTCTGGCTTAGGTACCTTAAGTACCTTCCTTACCTTACCTTATCTCACCTCAGGGTTAACACTGGTCCATTATTGGGCAATGCATCCCTTCCGCACAATGGAAGGCTGGGATCAGCCATGACTGAAGTATGACATGAAGTAAAACCACTTTGTGGACGAGGTATCATTACACTTCAACTAGAATTACACGATTTTTTGCTTTCCCCAATGTCTAAACCAACCGCGACGTATGCCGCTCGGCATGCAAACTCCAGGCCTGGGGTTTTTTTCCTTCCCGTCGTCAATAGATAGCACCCCGCTGAACGCCCAATAATGCTAGGAATGGAATGAGTAGTGATGATGCTCCAATATTAGTCTGCGTCCCTCCTAGACTTCTCGTTGACGCCCCTGAAGACCCGCTTTCCGACTTCGTAACTGCTGATCATGATGGCGCACGCCGGAGCCACCTTGAGCGTTCTGGGGATCCATCCTTTCCACAGACCGCCGATACCCTCCGTCGTGAAGATATGCCAGAGCAAACGCACCATGGAGCCCTGTTCAGCCGCAGCGGCCTTGGCCGCGTTGGCTTCGCCCGCTTGACGGGGCGCTTCGCGATACACTTGCGTCCTTGTCTTGCCCACGTCGAAAGGCATGGTGACTATCGATGCGAACCCGCCCGAGACGGCACCGGCAATGAAGCTGTCCGTCATGGTTTCCGTGTGGTTTTCGTGGCTCTGAGACCTGCGCCGCGACTGAGTTCGTGATCCTCTAGTATCCAAAGTCCGGCCGCGGCGGGTCTCTCGGAAATCTGTCAATCTACCCCGGATCGTCTCGTATCCCCACCAGTACAGACCTGAGAAGGGCACATCCCTCCACAGTGTCAAGGTCAGGCCCCTCCATAGCGAAGTATATCCGCTGCTGTGGACCATATCCTTGATGTCGCGGAACGTGTTTGCGAGATGGCCGGTCGTAGAGTTGCCTGTCGAGGCTTGCATTCTTGTACGGAAGAGCTCGATCGGGCTGACGGCAGCTGCGGCCAGAACGCGAGCTGCGGAACCGGCAACCAACGGAGCGGTATCGTCGTTGAGCCTTTGCGCGATTGGGCTCTTTCTATTGTATCTCATCCAGTCGTAGCCAGTAAAGTAGATGATGTTGCCCGGGATCGTCATCAGCAATGTCGGAGACAAACCCCTCCATAGGCTGGTGAATCCTTCATTTCGCGCAATCTTCTTCAGACCGTCCATGGTAGAGCTGATTGTCTTGCGCTCAACCTCCTCGACAGAGCATGCAGCAGCAGCAGAAGCTCCCGCGCCTTCTGCCGCTCTCGGCATCGCGAGACATAGTTCGGAGTTGTTGTTCATGAAGAATACCTCACGGCAGCAAGCTGTGACTCCGAGGTTCGATGTGTTGAAAGTCTTGAGGGTGTCGGTGGTCATAGCCAGCCGTGAAAAGTCTACTGTCGGCGGGGTGACATTTTGCGACTGCCATCGGATTCGGACAACGTCGAGGGGCGTCACTGCAGATGCGTGTCAGCGTATGGAAGCTCAAATCCAGTTTCGCGCTTCAGCTAGCTTACCGAGAAGCGATGTCAAAAGACTACCCGACATGGCCGAGATCATCTTTTGCGGCGCTGTAATATCATCGTCGCTGCCTCCGCTGCCGTTGGTCGGGGGCTGAGCTATTCGCGCCATTGGAAAAGAGTCATCGGGATCAAATCTGTCGTGGTCCTGGCCTCGGGTGGCCTGGTGGATGGTGGTCATTGCGGACCAGCTTGCATCGTCGGGGAAGTCGGAGCTTGGGAGAGATGCTGCGGTCATCCGTTCGGCAGAAATGTGGTGCAGTAAGAGGTTGGCCAAAGTGGAAAATGACGGGCGGTTTGACGGATGAGGGGGTGAGGAAAAGGTACAAGCTTTCACGATGTGGGAAGAAGAGGCAGGGTGAGAATTAATTAGCCTTACCCCGTTCGCTAGACCGGGAGAGTCGCCTCGTCATGACTGCGAAATCGGGTGCGCGCTCCGACTCTGGTCCCTTCCATTTCTTCCCCCAAAAATTTGCCGGAGATAATGAAATGGGTGGCGCCGGGGCACCTTGCTGGCCGAGCCGAGCCCAAACCGTTTAAGGTGATGTCACGGACCGACCCTCTGACCCAATTGGCTGGAACTCTGGTGGATACATCGGTGCGCCACAAAATGTCACCGATAAGCACCAGGCACGGTGGACCTCATGTGGCACCGCACACGCCGTCTGACTCCAGTTCGGCGTGCTTTCCGTGCCTGCTTACAGCATCATTGTCGATGATGAGTGGTCGACTTTAACTACATCTCATGTCGCAGCTTCGGTTCTTGAAGATATACAGAATTTCAAACCCGCCAAACAACGCCATCACCCAGCTCGACTTTTAAAGAAATAATCAATGTCACCGTCATAGCACTTCCCCAGCTTCATCGGCTCGTAACTTTTGAGCATCATAGCTATCAGTCATGGCAGACCAACCTCCACAGCTCGATTCTGAGCTGGAGTCTTTCCGGCAACAATGGCAGACTGAGCTGAAGCACAAAAAGGTAGTCCCAGAAGCCCGGGCGCCTCACTCGAAAAAGGAGTCATCCTCGTCATCCAAGCATTCGGTACCTGCAGAGATTCCCAAAAGCATAGTTGCCAAGAGGTCTCAAATAGAAGAGGATGAGGAATACGCACAATCTCTCGTTTTCGATGAACCAGCACCGCCCGCGTCCGGTCCGACACTGGATGGTCAGTCTGATCCCAATAAGGCCAGAGAACTGGTATCCGCTCTGGATCACTTTGAAGAAGCTGTCGAAAAGGAGGCAATCGGTAGCTTAGGGGACAGTCTCAAATTGTACCGGAAAGCATTCAGGGTGAGCAGCCAGTGCTTTGCTAATACACCTCTTCCACCTTCATCATACTGAAGCTTTCACTGCAGATGGATAATAGAGTCGACCTGGCATACCGGAAGAAGCACTTCCCCGCCGGTGCCGCGAAAGCGCCACAACCCTCAGCATCAGGTCCTGCGACCGCCGCCACAAGCGCAGCAAAAAAGCCCGTAGAGACGCAGACAATGAGCGAGCTGATTGCCAGCTTCTCAGGTCTCGCCGTATCAGCAGCGCCCCCGCCGGTAGAAGGCGACCCGGCGCCGCCCTGCCCCATTGCCGCCGTGCCTGAAGAGATCCTCGTCCACATCTTCAAAGACGTGGCCGTCCTCGACGTCGGCGACTTTGTGCGGCTGTCCCTCATATGCAAACGCTTCGCCTACGTCATCGCCACGGAGCAGCAGATCTGGCGTCGCGTCGCTCTCGGCCCGGAATTCGGCTTCGCGGGCATGCACTACCACTGGCAACGCGGCGTCTCTTGGGAACCGCTGGAGGAAGAGGAAGACAACAGCGGCGACCTCGACTACGTGACCATGGAGGAGCTCGCGCGGCGCCGCAGGGAAGAGGGCGAGGCTACAACCCTCACCCTCCTCCCGGAACTCTACGACTCGTCCTGGCGGAAAATGTTCCGGCACAGGCCGCGGATCCGCTTCAACGGGTGCTACATCAGCACCGTGAACTACATCCGACCGGGCCAGGCCAACGCCAACCAAATCACCTGGAACAGCCCCGTCCACATCGTGACCTACTACCGCTACCTCCGCTTCTTCCGCGACGGCACCGCCATCAGCCTGCTCACCACCGACGAACCCGCCCACGTCGTGCACTACATGACAAAGGACCTGCTTGAGCTCCATCGGCGCAGTAGCGGCGGCGGCACGGCGCACCTGCCGTCCGTCGTCATGCAGCACGGCCTTCGCGGGCGGTGGCGGCTATCCTCGGCGCTCGATCACCCGGACAGGCCGCTCGGGGAGGTCGAGGGCGACGTGGCCGTCGAGACGGAGGGGGTCGGGGCGAAGTACACGTACAGGATGTATCTAGAGATGCGCAACGCCGGCAAGGGCGGCGCGCGCAACACCAAGCTCGTGTGGAAGGGCTTCTACAGCTACAACAAGCTGACGGACGACCTGGGCGAGTTTGCGTTGAAGAACGATAAGCCCTTCTTCTTTAGTAGAGTAAAGAGCTACGGCGTCGGGGAGTGACAACTGTATTTTCCCGGGGCTTGAATAGACAAGAGGAATAGAAGCCTGCAGGCTGAATCTTGGTCATCTCCTTACTTTTCGTGTGTTTTCCAAACTCTTTCTAAAAGGAGACTGCTAGTGAAACATTCACAGATCCGTACTCCTCGCAACATCCTCCCAAGCCCTCAACCCCTCCAAAACACCCACACATTTAGCCCGAATCCTCTCCCACCCATCGCTCCCCAGTGCGACCCTGAACGGCACCTCCCTACCGCCACCACCGTCCCCGTCTCCGCCCCCGTCCTTCGCCATCCCGTCGCCCCGAACCAGCTCCGCGGTCCTCGCTACAGCCTTCTCAGGGTCCCCCAGCTCCGTCCCCGGAAGCGCCTCGGCGCCCGCCCTGATCGCGGCGTTGAACTCTGCAAACTCGGGAATACGGGCTGGAACGTTGGATATCTTGTTAAAGACTTTGGTGCGGAAGAAGCCCGGCTCGATGATGATGACTTTTATGTTTGGAGCGAGGACGGATAGTTCTTTGGAGAGTGTCTCGACGGCGCCTTTGGGAGGGTTCAAAGTTGCAGGGTTATCCTTTTTCTTCCTCTTCTTCTTTCTTGTTCAGGGATGAGGGTGGATGAGAGGAGACCGTAAAAGATACCAAGCTCAAGAAAACAAGACTGATGTTCAAGGTGTGCAAGGTGGAAGCGATGGAGTTGGCAAAAAGAAACACAAAACACAAACCCTCGAACGCGAATTTAGCCGCGCTATACGCCCCAGCACCGACTTCAACATGCCACGCCGCCTGCGAACTGATATACACCAGCGTTCCCGTCCCCCTCTCCCTCATCATCGGCAGAAACGCGCGCGTAATGCTCAGCGGACCGTGAAAGTTCGTCTTGAAGCTCGCTTCCATCTCCTCTTGTCTTTCCTTGTTTCGTCCATGTCAGTAGATACTCCGGAGGGGAAGAAAAAAAAGGGTTGGGGGGGGGGGGGGACGCGGGAAAGAGGACACAAAAAGGGGACATGGAAAAGGGAGGCCCCGAAGAGAACTCACGTCAACTCCTCGACAAGTCCAGATACGATATACCCAGCATTATTCACAACAACATCAACCCCGCCCTCAAAGTACCCCCCCCCCCCCTCAGCCACCTGGGTCCGTACCTCCGCCTCAGACGCCGCTCCGACGTCAAGCTCCATGATCCGAAACCGCGCCGCTGTCGTCGAGTCTCGCAGGTGCGCAAGCCTGGCCTCCGCCCCGCCACGCCCCGTGGCAATGACATTATCCCCCTCCGCCAGCAGCTTCCGCACGAGGGCCTCGCCGAAACCGCTCGTGCAGCCCGTGATGAACCACGTCCTGTGCGCTGAGGTTGTCATGGCGGGTGGGAGATCTGCTGAACTCTTCCTCTTCTCCGTTGCTTGTAGAGGTATAAAGCGGGGAAGAGGGTGATGAATATTGTGGAAAGGTGAAATAGTAATTCAAGAGACATATAAAAAATCAGAGTTAGCATCCCCTCAAGTCTGACAGGACCTCGCGGTGGCTTCTTATATTATTCGATACAAATTATGAAGCGGATACCGACTGGTCTTGGCTGTACAGAAAACCGGCGTACAGAGTTAACGAAAACGAGCAGTCTAGGATCTGCGGATTGATCGGAGCTCTCTACACGGCAAATCGACCTAGAAAGCACTTGGCCAATCGTACAGGGATATTAGCCTTACAGCGTAGGGCGTACACAAGGGCGTAGACCGCAGCAATCGTAGGCATCACATATGTTCACTACATTGCGGGGTGATGCTTTCATTTAGAGTTGGGTTGAGGTTTGGCCCGCTATTTCGTCTTGGATCCTCGTAGAATCATATATTACTGCCCTCCATCGGGTGTATATGTATAAGATTGGCTTGTAAATGCACCAAAAAAACGGCAAGTCGCTACATTAATGACTAAAACGCCTTGACGCCTGGCAGGGCACTAATGCTGATTTTCTTCCTTCGCAAGCTTGCGAGTATCTGTTCCAAATAACATAAAATAACGAGTAGATGGTTATGTGCTCGCGGAAACCCCGTAAGCCAAAATGTACATCGCGAAGCATGTTCAACGGTTTTTGTTGAGTGGCATGATTACAGTGATGTAATATCAAGAAATGATCGTCCGAGGGGTATCAATATCGCACTTCTTCTGTCCAATACCGGGCGCAAGTCGCAAAATGGCGAATTCGAAGAGTGGTCCATACTCGGCATGATTCCCAGTTTTACAGACGACGAGCCACATGTGGGGGTTACGGCCCATGACAACCTGCTGTGACACGGCCGACTTATTGTTGTCGATAGACGCTGCCTCCTTGGCGATAGACGCTGTCTGCCGTCCGTGGCGGCGCCACCCTTTTGCCGTCTAAGAACTTGGGGCTTCTGCCGTCGTAATACATATTGGGCGTTTGCTGCTGCCTTCGTGCTTCGTATGCTCGTTGTTCCTCTTCGTCAAGCGAGAATGCCTTCTTCAGCCAGCCAAAAGCGCTGCGTTTCTTCTTCAGTCGCTTTTCTCCGCTCGCTGTCATCTGCGAGTCGTATGTCATGGTCGTGACGTTGCTCAACATGCTTGCGCCTCCTAGACGGGATGGTGCGTTCCTCTGATGAGTGGGATAGTACCCAGACTGGTGACCATAAGGAGATCTGGGCTGCGCACCAGCAGTGAGCGGCCTTTGCTGTAGTGGAGAGTGTGGACTCGCTTGCACCGGGCGGTAATATTGGTGTTCCGACCTCGGAGACGGTAGCACCGGCGGCTGCTGTACAGGTGGAGAGAGCTCGTTCGCTGCATGATAACGCTGCCGCTGGTCATAGTCAGAACCGTAGGCGGAATCTAGAGCCTGACGCTCCCGAGGAGACTCTCGCGCAGTGTGATGAAGGTCTGATGACGGGGGTGGAATTTGGATTGACTCTGGAGGGGTCGTCTTCAAAGAAACTCTCTGGCGAAGCGATGTCTTCTTCGTTGGGAGAGGCGCCTCGCGCTGGGGCTGGTATTTGCTTGATGATTCGGTCGGGGCGGGTGAAGGCATGCGTTCCTCTGGTGGCTGTGGGGTGTAGGTCCGTGGTTGGAGTATGTATAGCGGTCCGTCGTCCAGTGTCACCTCCACCTCCTCCTCAGCGCTGACTGGCTCAGTTATTGGGCCGTCGGGAGTCTCCAGAGTGAGCTTGGGCGCGATAGGCTGCGCGCTCTGGTTGGTGCGAGTAGTATGGCTTGTGCGAGCCGTCTCGTGGGAGTGGTTGGTGTTGTGAGAGTGTGTGGTTGTATGAGATTTAGTGGTCGTTTGTGAATGAATTGTGTTGTGAGAGTGAGAGGTGTGGAAAGATTGCATGGTGTTGTTTGAGTGCGATGTTCTATGGGTTTTGACCGATCGCTGATCAGGGGAAGCTACTGGCGATGGTATCTGCATTGGGATGTCAAAGTAGGCCAAATTGGAACTTGACCTTCCCCCAGTAGAGACAGAGCCGCTCATACTATTCGCGCGCAGCGTAGAGCGCCTCGGGTCTCTGGGAGGTGAAACTGGTGGTGAATTTGACGGTGCGTCATCGACTCGGGCGCCTTGTAGCGGTAAGCTGAACGGCGGAATGCTGGCCTACAGAGCGGTTAGTTCTGGGTAGACCACAGGGCGATTGGCCCGACTTACCCAAGTTCTTCGACTCACTTCGCCGGCCTTCTTGCTCATTTCAGCCACCATCTTCCCCAGCTTAACGACCAAGGTATTCAACTCCTTGCCTTGAGCTTGCAACTCTACAAATGCGTTATACCACCCCTCAGTATTGCCCTTCATTGCGGCATAGATGTCAACCACGTCTGGACGATCTTGACGCCAACTGCCTGCATTCTGGTGAGCCAGATAAACAGCAAACTCCTTTGTTGCGGCGAGGCCATGCTGCACATCTTTGTCGTACTGTTCAAGCTGGATGTTGGTGCGAGCTACGATATGCTCAATCTTTTCGTTGCCCTGAACAATCTCGAGGCGGAAATTGCGGTCCTCTAGCAGTTTCTCAAAGACTTCGAGGTTCTCCATGGGCAAGCGAAGGTAGTCGATCCTCTCCTTCAAATCGTTGGTCGCCTGCTCAAAGTCCTCCATGACCACCTCGAGAAACTCGTCCACCTCGTCGATGTGACCCTGCAGGATACTGACGACCTGGGCGGCGCTGTTGGCCATGCCGTGAAGTAGCAAGTAAACGCCAAATGATATCTGCGCCATGAGCTTCTGGAGCTCGTGCTGCTGCTGGCCGGGGCGAAATCGCCAGAGCATATCGGGTAGGTCATCTTCGCGTTCCTGGCTAATGAGCTCCTCGCGACGAATCTTTGCATCAGCAGTTTTGAGTTTCGGTTTCTGAGTAGGATTGCCATCGGCGACTTCGAGAAATGACTCGGCGAAAGCGGCCTGCATTGAGGGGATGGGATGGCGAGGGACCTTGGGGCTACCCAGTGTCGGTGACTCGTTATTTGTTCGGCGTGTGCTGCGGTCTGGATTCTGGGGCACGGTAGCCGTGGTCGGTGTTCGCTGAGCATCCTCATCGTCACTCTCATAAATGGGAGAAGGCAGGTCGTCTGACGGGGGGAAGAGAACGATTGGCAGGTCCAAGCTCAAGTCGAGGTTGTTGTTGGCCCCGAAGGACATGCGTGGGAAGCCCGTTGATGTAGCCATGGCGTACAGAAGAAGCTGTGTCTGGCGAGGCTATAGACGAGCGGCAGAGACCGTTGGCGTGCGACAACTGCCACAGCCGCTTGACAGTACGGGTCTGGTGGTTCGGTCGGAGTCGTGCGATGCGGAAGGTCGAATAGCAGAGTCGGAGATATAACGTACGACGTTGTGCGACACGGGCGCTGTGTGGGAGATCACAACTGTCACTGCTGGTCTCACAAGTGTTGGTGGTGGTTGTTGTACGGAGTGTTGGGTGTGCGAATGGCTGGCTCTGGTTGGATGAGATTGGCAAAGAGTCGAGATGTTGCAACAAGCAGCCGCGTCGAAGGGGAGAAAAAGGACGTGTTCAGCAGTCGCAGATTGACATGACAGGCAGGACAGCCCCTGGAAGGTGAGAGAGGGGGGTTGAGAAAGAGAGGAGCGAGCAAGAATAGATCCGGGGTTGTCGCAATGGTGAAAAAGGGCGAGCGGGCGAGCAAGGAGGGATGTCGGAGGCAAGGTAAGGCCAGACAGGGTAAGGTATAGATTATAGTGTGAAGTGGGATAATATTAGGATTATGAGTAAAAGGGTTAGGCTCAGGACAATGAGAAGCGAAAAAGAAGAACCGGGAAGGCCAAGCGATGACGGCGGGATCGGGACCGGGAAAAAGGCTCAAGAGTCAAGGCTCCCGTCGTACGCTCAGTCGTGTATCCGTACAAGAATGGCGAGAGGGGCAGAGGATAGCATTCCAGGGCGGAGATGGACGAGGCGAGGGCTGAGTTTGAAGTCTGAAGAGGAGGGACTGGACAGTTGAGGCGGGCCAAAGTGTACGGAGCAAGGTAGGTAGGTAGTGAGTGGTACAGACAGATAGAGAGTTGGATCTCAATTCTACCTCGTGGCCTTGGAAAAGAGTGACAAGATGGAGCGACAAGTCGAGAGGAGGGAAAAGGGCAAAGAAGCTCTGTTGGTAGCAAGGTACGTAAGGCGCCTCTCGCTGGGATGGTAAAGAAAGCCCGGAAATGCAGTTCGCGAGTGAGAGAGCGTGGTGTGTGGTATGTGTGTGTGTGTGTGAGAGGGAGTGACTTGCGCGGCGATGGACCATGAGATGGGATGGTGTGGGATGGGATGGGATGAGATGGGGGCCCGAACCTGGACCTGGACCCGGACCTGGACAGACGTACATCCATCCACCCACCCTCCACTAAATTGAATTGATTGAACGAAGGTGGAGGGATGAGTGGCTCGAATGCCGGCGACTACGCTAACGCAAGGAAAGGCAAGACCAAGCAGGCGGGCAAGGTGGGTGGTGGTCGCCCTGCTCCTTTTTTTCACCACCACTTTACACACAGTAGACACCTCTTACTTCGTACCTGAGGTACATCTGCTGCTACTTTGCGATCCATGGCCATAAGTGAGTGAGTGGTGCAAGCAAGGTAAGGTACGCGGCGCGGAGCGTGAGGTGCAGATGCAAAATGGTGCCAGTGCCTTTTTGGGTACTGAGGGAAAGGGTTGAGCCCGAGGTCTATCATCTTAAGGTAGGTAAAGCAAGTATCTCCAAGTAAGGTAGCCTCCTGGCTGTACCTCCCTAGTCGAGATTGTATTCCAGATACATGCTCCGCGGGGATGCCTGTGAGGTATTCGTACCATACAGTACGGAGTAAGGTAGGAAAAAATACTTCGGAATCCCGACCGTAAGGCTATGTACCTCGCCCAGAAACAAA